GTGTGTGGTGATTTTGCCAGACGACGTCGTGGTTATAAAATCAGGATTTTAGCAGCAGCAGAGCAGCAGCTTGGAAATGACTTGGAAGTGTCTGCAGGTTAACATGTGGTCGTAATGGGCTGCATTTAAGTCACTATTTCAAACTTGTTCCTTTGTCAGACAGCATAAACATAAAAACATGTAAATGAGAACAGCTTTATTGGGGATTTGTCTGTATTATAATACTGTATATGTGAGCACAGAGAGTCGGAGAGAAGCGAACAGATAAAGGGCTGAAACTGTCTGACACTAAGCAGAATGCAAATACAATGCAGTGACATCACAAACTAACATCACTAATTAGCACATTACGTCATCTAACAACTATTTCCAGCAGGCTTTAACTACTTTCCATTGGAAATACTTCTTTACAGCAACGTCCTCAATTTCACGTGTTGACCATTCACGGTCGAGCCACCAGGTTTTGACCTTGTCTTGTGAACATTTTGGCATCTTGTGAAAAATCCACAGGTTTGAATAAGAAAAAAAAAAAATTAGCTAAATGGCTGAATTCCATTTGGGTGCTTTACTTTCAGGGTCCTGGTGTTGTGAACGGTGACTCACCGTCGCACTGTAAAGACTTGCTGGACCACTTCAGTAGAACAGAGCCATCATTAACATTATTAGTAACACCTGTGCTTTTGCTGCTATGACGAGTTAAAATGTCTGCCATGGAAAAAGCCAGAATCTCACAAACCGGCCAATATACTTTTTCCTTTTTTTTTTTTTTTTTTTTTTTTATCAGTTCATTATATTAGCACCAACTCCTACAGCCCAGCCCAGCTATCATAGCACTGTGACATAGTTTATCAGGTAGCTGTGTTGAAGTGTGTGTGTGTGTGTGTGTGTGTATATGTGTGTGTGTATATGTGTGTGTGTATATGTGTGTGTATGTGTGTGTGTTTTTTAGTTTAATTTCACTCCCTGGGAGTAGATCAAAGCCTGCACCATAACCCAGCCTGTTATTATGCTGCATGTGGAATGTCTAGTGTTGTCTGGGCTGCTGTGTTTCCCGCCCTCCATCCCTGGGCCTGCCAGTGTAATGGGGTGTAAAGTAGTTCCAGCTCTAAGTGTCACTCTTGAACCCGAGAACAGACAACACCCCCCTCCCCCCCGCCTCATTAATCTCCTTCTCACTCCCACAAGACGGCATGTAAGTTAGACAGGAACTGATCCAAAAACTGATCCAGCGCTTTAGACCTGAGGAGATATCTCGACCATGGAGCCTCAGTGTTTCTGCAGTCGCACCAGGAGCGACTGAACTTTGTCTAAACAAATTACTTCCCCCAAGATGCTCACGTCACAAATCATTGCATGTGGACCAATGGATGAGAGGGGGAATTTATCAACAGAGCTGGTGGTCTGTGATGCTTTCTGCATCAGTGTTAGTGTGGTATTCTTTTATCCAAAAAAACTCTAGTTTATCTCTAGAGTGATGAGAATCATACATTTTGCTGAGTAATGTCTTTAGTGTATGAGGGACTGATAATACATTAGTTGTGTATGGGATACCCTGAGCCTAAAGTTGCTGTGACATTTGAACAATACAACGTATTAATATCTAAATCAGTCAGTTTTTTTCTCAGACGTACCGCCACATATCCATCCTGTGAGCTCAGTTACTCCTTCACTGACACAAATTTTTCCAACTGTGTTCATTTCAAGTGATTTTAAACCGGGAGTTAAACATAAATTTCTGTACATTATATTTTAAATATTTTCACTGCTATATCTTACTATCAAACAGCCCTTTCATTTAGAACTTCATTTTTCTAAACTACATTAAAGCTTCGCACAAGTGCACCTACAGCACACACAGCATTACTCCACAGATCAGCTGTTAAAGTCCTGAACACGTAGCGCTGCTCAGAGGGCGTATTATAACCCCTTGTATTTTGAAGACAGCGATGGCTGAAACTTATCAAGCGACAATCACTTACAAATAGCCCCTTTAACTTAACACAATAAAAAAATGTTATCAGACAGGGAACAGAATGCTTCTAATTAATCATGTGTTCACTCAACAACTATGAAACATCATTCAGGCTAATAATAACTTGACAGCCACATTCACTGACTGCTCGACATAAATCTGCGGCAGTAACAGAAAATGTTGAGTTCTCAACATCTTAAAGGTTGTAATTGGTTCACATGTCAGCCAATTGCTGTAGTTCCTTTTTTTTTTTTTTTTTTTTTTTAATTTGGATCATGTCCTCGGGGCAGGGTGGACACCGGCCCGAGGATGATAATAGAATGCGTCATTATATAGGTCAGCGGCTTTGTTCATTTCTCCAGGACTATATCCGTGTCTATCTCTCGCATCTGCTTGAACTGCAAGACACATTTTGAGTTTAATATTCTGTGGAGCAACGGCAACATGTTTCTTTCGTCATGTTCTACTGTTCCACACCTCTTTCTGTCTCTCTCTTCATGTGTGAAGAAATATGCTCTGTGCTGCTTGCCAAATTTGAAGTGTTATGATAACAGTGTCCCTGGCACCAAGCATCAGAGAGTGTGTGTGTGTGTGTTCAAAAGACTTCCTCACACCAGCCTCTTGTCATTGTCTCAGTACTGTTAATACCCAGACATTAACCCCTCTTCTGTAAAGTCCCTTCAACTAAAGAGCTGTTGTGTAGAGATGGAAAATAAAACTACCAAAGGTAATCTATTGCTACAGCTAGATGTATGTAGATGTATTACCCTCAAGGCTTTGCAGTGATATTTTATATTTCACTGTGCTAAAGCTCAAAAGAATTTCAATGAGATGAAAGAAGTGTAACACCCTTAAGCATGTTATCATCAAGTGTTCTGGGCAGACCTACCAGCCGTTGTAAAAACATTCATGTAATTTTAACACTGTTAAATACAAACTATCTGAGAACCTTTTTTTCTGTGGCTTCTCATAATATAAACAGTTAATATTAAAAAAAAAAAAGAAAAAACCAGGAGCAAGTGCGAAGTAGCGAGTCTTCTGATCATATGTTTGCTTGTTTCCCTGATTCGTCTCTTTAGCCCGGCCTTCAGCCAGCTGGCATAGAGCTTGGAGTTCACAGGTGATATTGCACAGTAGAGGAAACCACCACTTGAAGTCCAAAATTAGCTATGCTGTCAACTTACCTTCACACATTTTCTTCACACAGTCTCTTTTCTTTGAAGTGAACATCCAAAGAATGTCCAGCAGGGTCCAAACATTACTGGGGATCCCTCTGAGAGGATACTATGGGTTTTTCCTCTTCCTTTATCAGTTCATTATCAAGTATAGGGCTGCTTATTTTCATTTTCGGTTAATCAGTTAACAGTTTGTTAGGAAACAGTACAAAGAACATAGTTAAAAAAAATGCCCCTTTCTGCTTCCCAAAGTTTAAAGTAAAGATTTAAATAGCTTATTTTGTGCGTCCAGCCATCCAAAACCCAGAGCGATTTATTTTAATATCACAGAAGACTAGGAGACCCTGCTAGTAACAAGAAACTGAGAAACCAGAGAATGTCTGATTTTTTTCTTAAAAATAAGTTGGCAATTATTTTTTTGTGCGTTAACTAATAGATTAAATGTTTGAGTTTTAATCACGTCTTGATAACACATCATGAAAGTGTTTTTTGCTACAGTTCTTTGTGCCACAAACTGGATATCCAGTGAATATGAGAGATTTTTAAACTCTTACTGATTGATCAGCCACTACATTGTAGCGTTCATTATTTTTATTTGCAAGGTAGCAGAAAATCCCACCTTCAGCATGCACACATACAGATTTATGTGTCAGTGTAACAGTTTTATAGAGGATTTGTTTTTCTTTAAAGGCCGTGAAAACCTGCCTCTTACTCTTAGGGGTGGGATCCTGCAAGAACACGCCATTTTCTGCCAAAGTTTGAACAGTTTTGCTTATTTCACATTGGACATGCGTGCTTTCGTGTTACTGGTTTGAAGTGGGCGGGGCTCAGTGGAAGTTGATGCGCTCCAGTCAGAGTTTGAATCCACGTGATGAGTTGTGGGGTGTTTGCTCAGCTGGGTTTTTGAGCATTAAACTCTTCATAAATATTTTTTATTTTTTTATTTTTTACTTTAAATTTGATTGTTGCTGTTACAGTAATGGATATTAGAAAAGAAAAACTTATATTTGAAATAGTTATAAGCAAGAACTTATCCTGTCTCTCTACTCAGGTTTCATCATTCACACGCTGAGCCTGCCAAATGCAGCCATTGTTCTCATGTCAGAAAATGTGCAGCTCCACAGGAGCTTCGGGTTTGTACCTTGCTCAACGGCAGCTTGTCCTGAGAGAGGAGAGCAATACACCCTTTCTCCTCTTTCATTTTCCCAGCTTCAACCAGCAACCCTCTAACCACAAGCCAGTTTCTTTCCTCCATCAAGATCCCCATTGTGCCGGTTCCTTATCACTCTGTTTTCTTTTTTCTGCGACTCAGAGTTGTTTTAGCAGCAGCTCCACTCTAGTTGCCGTTTGTTATCATTTGTATGAATTACCATTGATGCGCTTGAGTAGTGAGCAGACATTGGCATGGGAAAGCAGAGGACAGGGCCTTGAGTGAGGCAAATGCCCTCATCCATCATCCCAATATAGAGCCCTCAGTGGAGCACAGCCATTGTCTGCAGCAGGCAAGCACCCAGGAATAGCAGATGGAGGAAGAGAGAGAGAGAGACCGAGGACAGAGCTGAGCTGATTTATTTTCGGGGCCTTGTTTATCTGAATGTGTGTTTTAGAAGTTGATTAAAACTCTACCACCTGTGGTTTTGTTTTTTTTTTTGTTGTTGTTTGAAGACGTAATTGCAGATAATGTGTTGCTGTGCTGATCAGCAGACGATTGAGATTCAGTACATCTGTGCTTTTGGGAGCAAAAATCCTCATTGTAAAGTACAAACTGGAGTTCTGAAAAAAAAAAAAAAAAAAAAAAAAAAGTTGAACTACTTTAATTTTAACCTTCCTTAACTTTTGCCTGATGTTTTTAGGCGGCGTACCTGAGACTCTGAGGTCGAAGGTCAGAAGCCAGGAGGTCATGGCTCTACTCGTCACTCTCGGTAAAGGACTCAAGAGGACAGCTGAGAGGGGAACGTCTATCCTGCGCAGATTTCCAGTAAAGTATAAGAACGGAGATTACAGCAGCAGAAAATGCAGCAGGCGTAGAAAAGCTTGTTTAGCATGTGTAGCTGTGGTTTCTGGTTGCGTCCGTCAACACGTTCGGTAGTGCATCATCGCCTGCAAACAGAGTCATGTTGACGCAAGTTGTTGCCTGCTGCTTAATGTTAACACACATCCAGTAAGTGCAAAACTGGAAGACGATGACAACATAGAAATAGTTTTTCATAGAATAGATAGTTTCATCTATTTGTTGTTGTTATTTCATTTTTAATCCTCATGTATAATTACACCAAAGTGTATCATAACGGTTGTAAAGCCTGTATAGGTACATACAGTGTATTTTTGTCCAATTCAGAACTCTATTTTGTATTTTTCTTACCGTTCTCAACAAAAGCAGATTAAACTGTTGTATTTTTTAAAAGTATCACCTCTTCCGTTCTTTTTTTCTGTCTGCTGGAGAGCACTGCTTGTTGATATGTGGGACATTGTTCTTGAGTTGGCTCTTGATGAAAGCTTATTATAGAGGCACTTCAGCCCCAGGGTACAACAGTGCATCCTCCACTTTAGTGTAATTACAGCTTGTGGAGCTAGGTGATTTTTTGTCTAGTTGTGGGTTTATTTGGGAGTGTGTGTCAGTGATTGATGGTATTTATGTAACATGCGTGGTACCGGAAATCATTGTGAAATGGTATGGTTAGACTCTGAAAATCGGCCTTTTAGTTCAAAATGTTGTACAGTCTTCACTTTCTTAAGTTCATCATGAAGTGGGACGATCAAATAGTTCTAACAATATGTCAGAGGGGGAGTGCTTCGGGCACATTATCATTATCAATGTTTAATCTAGGCATATCTGTCTGTCAGTTGGTTTAGCCTGAAATATCTCAACAACTATTGGATATAGTTGGTTCCAAGTGAAATGTCTCCATTATTATCAGACTGAATGCCTTGGAATTAGCTACAGACATCCAGGGTCCCCAGAGGTTGAATTGTTTTCCTTTAGGTGATCCTCAGATTTTTCATCTACTGCGGGGGTCGGCTATTCGCAGCTCTGGAGCAGCAGCATGCGGCTCTTCAGCCCTTCTGCAGTGGCTCCCTGTAGCTTTGAAAAAAATAAAATAATATGAAAATAAATAGAATAAACAGCTATTTTTTTTTTCTTTTAAAGAGAACACCTCATATTTTAGATATCAAGGTGATACCGATAATATTTCGTCGACTAAAATATAGGTCACATCTTACAACGTCTCCATACCAACGTTTACAGCCTACCACCTCTTCCTGCTGCTGATAGGTGGCTGATCTGGAGTTTCGGACCCCCGGTAAGCTAACCATGGATAAATCCAAAAAAAGAAAAGTCTGCAGCTATATTTTTAATTAATTTCAAAGTGGGTTACTTTTTAGTTTTTTAATCCTTCACAAATAAGAGAAGGACTCATATAGGCCTGCATCGTTCTGTGTTTTATTTAAAAGTAGGCATACACATGCCAGTGGGTTATTTTTCCTATTCATAAGAGTTTGGTGTTTTCCTTTGTTATAACAGTTAAAAACAGCAATAAAACGTCAACAGTTTTTTTGTAGTTCTATAATTTCATAAATGCAATAAACTATAGTTCTTTTGATTGATGGTTTTTATTTGTAGGAGAGAGGCCAAAACTGGCTCTTTTAATTGTAAAGGTTGCAGACCCCTGATCTAGTGCCAACATTAGGTCAAAGTTTTCACTTATCCAGGGACATTTCTCAGTTTCTATCAGATGCATTGGCACAAAATGTTTCCTCTAATTTGTAATGAAATTTGGTACAGACAGCCATGTTCCCTTCAAAATGAATTTCAATAACCTTAACTCAATAAATCTTCAACTTAATAACTCTAACCACACCATCCTCCATCATCCATCCATCCCACTCTAATCACACCAGGAGGTCAGAATTTCAATTTGTACTTAAATACTTTAGGTCCCATATTTTACAATTTTCTTTTGTTTTATTTGAAGTTTTGATATCCTTAAGATTCATTTTTTGGTCATTTCAATGAGGCTTTACGCCGCCTCTCTTAGGCTTCACTCTGGAGCCGTTGCATGAGCAGGACTGTTTTCTGAGCGACACACATCCAGGCCAACCTTAGGCAATGGATTGTGGCCTGCTGCTGTAGCTTGGTATAACTGACTGGTAAAGGCAAATGGCAACAGTCAGTCAGCGCCGAAATGAGCCGAACAGACGGTCAAACTCAGTATTTTCTTTTAAATCGCTCCTAAAAAAACATTTCTTTCACAAAGCTTTTAATTAATCTATTTTAAATATTTCACATATTTTTACATTGCTTACTTGTGTTTCTATTTTTATTGTTTATTTTATTCTTTTATTTCTTTTATCTTGAGTAATTTGCTTCATGTGTTTTTGTTTGTTTTGTTATTTTATCCTTATGAAGCACTTTGTAATCTCTGATTTTAAAAAGTGCTCCGTAAATGAACTTTTAAATAAACTATTATTATATGATTATAAACTAAATTGCTCCGGCTTAATTTTCTATGGAGCTATACACCGAAACCTTTGGCCTGGTTCCAGTGCAAACCCCTGGATCATCTGGCAGCACAGTGGTGTTGCAGCATCCAGGTCCAATGCTGGAGTGGCCGAGCCTGATGCCTCCAGCTCACTCTCCTCAGCTGCTTGACCTTCTGGGTGGACCGGTACGATGCCAGTGTGCATTGAGGCCAAGGGGAGTGTGTGCGGCCGCAGAATCAGAGGCCCGTCGTGGACATCAGGGACAGACAGCAACAGTGGAATATGGCAAGTGAATTACCAGGGGAAGGAGAGGGAGCAGTCAACTCTTCCGTCAACACCAGACCATGTGGAGTTTGGATTGATCAGGATTTCAGAAGAGAGACCAGCGGCGACATTAAGGTGAGTGCATGAAAGGGCGGCATATATGGGGAAATTATGGCAGAAATATGCTTTGTCTTGGCAGCAGCTACAGAGACAAAACTATCAAGCATCTTATTTTTGCGTAGGTCCTACTCCAGGCAGTGTACATCATCCCTTAACTGTGAGTAAGCAAGTTTGCAGTCCACGCACACACAGCCATAATAACAGCTGGTTTTCAGTCCAAGTGTAACTCATAAAAACAACACGACTGATGAAAACGGGAAACTTAAAGCAGTCAAGAAAAAGTAATCCGACAATCAGTAGAGGAATAGCATTGGAAAGATTATTAGGTGAAAAGATCATTGGAGAGGCTGTACGAAACACTAATGAGAGTCCTGAACAGAGATTGAAAAAAATGTAGCACATTTCAGGTAAACACACGGAGAAAAACCAAATCCTGCAAGGCTGAACAGTGGGCCGTGCTGGGGGCATGGCTGAGGGCAGTGACTGTAGGCTATAGTGTTGTCCTGATGACTCGTTTTAAGGCACAGTTTGTGATTACAGGCTTTACTTTCACAGTATTTATATAGCACCTACACCTGCTTTATAATCAGAAGAGACATGGAAATCTTACTTTATACAATATGGGACCTTTTAGTTTACCTGCAAAACTAATGATATTCCCATGAGCCTCAACTGTATTTAGTGTTCAGTCCTCGATGGCAAATTTAACAAGTTAACACACTGAACAAAGATGGTGATTATGGTAAACATCATAGAGAGCCAAAGTCATGATGTCACTCTGGGCTAGCATGTGTTCCACTGGCTTCAGATAGCTTTGTGAGCGCAGAAAAAAAAACTACAGCTCCCACGAAAAAAAAACATCATCGTCACTTGGTTTTGTCCATATCCATAAAACTCACCCTCAGCTCGCTCATGGACTCGCCTCTCCTGTCGAGCAGTGACATGTAACATCTAGGGCTTATGGGAAATGATGTTCATTAAAGGCAACTGAAACCATATTGTCATATGAATAATTATAATAATATCTTATTTCTTTTGTCATTGTATCATTTATATGATTTCTCTCTCTATACCTGCTAAACATAAGCATGTTAGCATTAAGCTGAAAACACAGCTGTGGCTATGCAGCCTCACCAACTGTAGACTCTTAGTCATGTCACTGTGTAAAATTAAATAATCTTATATTTTTATATAAATCTTTCTAAACATTAGTGTAAACAATGATGAGACCATTTTGTGTTAACCAGCCTGCAGAGCTCAGTCAGCTGAGTAAACCAAAATGATCTATTAGTGACCGCCACTGGAGCGTATGTGATGCCCGCACCTCCACTTCATGGCTTGTGAACATGGCATCCAGGCTCCATAGGTTATCTCTGACCAGCAATGCAGCATAATGTCCGACTGTGTGTCTATGTAACGAGCTCTCAGTGAAGCCGACGGAACTATTTTTTTCTGCTCCTGACTGCATGCCTGGATCTGCTGAATGCTGATGCGGCAAGTGACAATTACTTTTAAAAATACAAAGAAGCATTGTGCCCACTGAGGCGGCAAAGCAGAGAGTGAATTGGCTAATTAAATACATCTAACACTGAACCGTCAAGGGGTTCTCATTTCCTTTCTGCCCTTTCTCCACAAGTGCAAATGAAGTAGGCTCTAAATAACCCATTTGTTTCAAGCCTGCTGAGCAGAAGGAGCTACTCCACATTACTGGCTGCTGCTGCTGTTTTGAACACACCGACAGACACAGTCACCCACAAGCCGTGAGGAGTTGCAGGCGTTCTTTGTCTTTCTCCCCTTGATGATGGAGGTGTCAAATTAAAAGTTTTTTGGCCAGTACACCACCGTCTGTTGACACTGTGCAGCTCATTAGCCTTTTCAGACAGTTATCTCATGAAAAATATCAGTCTGAACAAAGGTCTATACTCCATATTGAGCCTTAGTAATTACTTGTCTGTGGTGGAGGACAGTTTTTGCTTGTTCCTCTTTTACATGTGCTGCTGGTGTGCAATAGATATAAGAATAAAAGGGAGACATTACTCAGCAGCAGCCAGCATGAATGGGAATAGTTATATTGCTGTGGATTGCTACAGAGAGCAACATCATGCTTTAGGACCACACTGCATGTTTAGACATTATTTTAATGGTGACCTTGGTGAATTTCATGTTTGAGAATTATAATCTACATGTAAATAAAGACTGGTTTGGCCACTCCAATAGTGAAATACCACAGGATTCAACCACGGGAGCCAACCTTAACTCAAGGTGAAAGATTTTGGGAGGGGGTGGGGGTCTAAAACCCTTGGGCTTATGAGAACATTTTAAAGCCTTAATAAAAACACACTAAGAGTCAACGTGCTTGCAGCTCTGTGAGGATGTCCTCAACCACCCTGAGCATGTTAACATGCTCACAATGACAGTTCTGACATGCTGTTATTTTACAGGTACAGTGTTTACAGTGTCCATCAGCCTTAAACAGAAAGTACAAGTGAGGCTGATGGAAATATATTAA